GATACAGAGTAAAGCTCCCTCTACACTGTCCCTCCTAATCAAACACTTCCAGGACAGGGACAGCACGGGGTTAGATACAGGGTGAAGCTGCCTCTACACCGCTCCCCCCCACCATCAAACACTCCCAGGACAGGGGGTTAGATACAGAGTAAAGCCCCCTCTACACTGTCTGCCCCATCAAACCTCCCAGGAACACGGACAGCACGTGGTTAGATACAGAGGAAAGCTTCCTCTACACCATCCCCCATCAAACACTCCCAGGGACAGGGTCAGCACGGGGTTAGGTACAGAGTAAAGCTCCCTCTACACTGTCCCCCCATCAAACACTCCCAGGACACTACAACACCAACATCCTGTCTTACAGCAATATGGGCCACTCCTTCAGCATCTCCGGGGTCAGAATCCTGGAACTCCCTCCCTAATGGGGGCTGGGGGGCAGTGGGGCTATCCCACACAGGGTTGCGGGGGGCACTGCAGCAGTTGAAGAAGGTGGCTCACCCCCACTTCCTGAAGGGGGGCAATTAGGAATGGGCCCATCTCCCTCTAAACCCTTCCTATCCACGTCCCCATCCAGATGCCTTTTAAATGTAATTGTACCAGCCCCCACCACTTCCTCTGGCAGCTCGTTCCATACACCCACCACCCTCTGCGTGAAAAACATGCCCCTTAAGTCCCTTTTAAACCTTCCCCCTCTCACCTTAAAACCTCTAGTTTTGGATTCCCCCCCACCCTGGAGGGAAAAGACCACGGCTATTCACTCTATCCATGCCCCTCATGGTTTTATAAAGTCACCCGTTAGCCTAAGAAACTCCAGGGAAAATAGCCCCAGCCTCTCCTTACAACTCAAGCCCTCCAGTCTCGGAAACGTCCTGGTAAATCTGGAGAAAGCCTGGAAAAGCAGGAAGGACGAGCGAGCGTCAAAGACCATGAAGAGAGAGGAGAGCAGAGCGCGAGAGAGGTGAGAGAGAACGAGAGAGGAAAAGGTAAGAGAGAGCGAGAAAAAGGTGAGAGCGAGAGAGAGATGCAAGTGTGGGGAGCGAGAGAGGACAGAGAAAAAGAGATAGCGAGAGATAGAAATAGAGACATGGAAGAGTAGTAAGAGAGGAGGGGGAGAAAGGGGGAGAGAGAGAGTGCGATAGCATGGGTGAGAGACTGAGAGTAACGAGAGTGTAAGAAAGAAACAGACAGAGAGAGAGGGATCAAGAGTGTGGGGGAGTGAAAGAGGAGGGGGAGACAGAGAGAGACAGACAGGGATATGAGAGAGAGAGAAAGAGAGAGAGAGAGAGTGAGTGAGTGAGGGGGATGAGGGAGGAAGGGGATGAAGACAGACAGGGATATCTGAGAGAGAGAGAGATAGAGTGTGTGGGAGAGTGAGAGAGGAGGGGGAGACAGAGAGAGACAGACAGGGATATGAGAGAGAGAGAGAGAGAGTGTGAGTGAGTGAGTGAGGGGGATGAGGGAGGAAGGGGATGAAGACAGACAGGGATATGTGAGACAGAGAGAGAGATAGAGTGTGTGGGAGAGTGAGAGAGGAGGGGGAGACAGAGAGAGACAGACAGGGATATGAGAGAGAGAGAGAGAGAGAGAGAGTGACTGAGTGTGGGGGAGTGAGGGAGAAAGGGAATGAAGACAG